TGGTTATCTTTTGTAATATGTCATTTAGTGTATACACTTGTCTTTATAAACATCTGTATGGAAGGTTGTAAATCAAAAATGCACCTGCCAGTGACGTTGCTCACAAACATCACAAACCCTTGTAACGTACTGTATGTAGTTTGTAAAGATCGTTGCTTTTCAGAACATGTTTAATAACTTGTTCAGTAATAGGTATATTGATTGCTAATGTCATCATGATTTAGTAGAGAAGCAGTCATGTGGCAGCTTCAACAATTCAAGGGCCCCTTTGTCCATTCATCAGCACCCCTGATTGGGCCCATGTCATGGTTAGCTGCAGGCCTGGCAGATAAAGATCAGTGGATGATTGGGCACACACATTCTTAACATGGCTGACCCGTGACATCTCAGGGGCATGCAGGGAGCCTGTCATTATGTGTACAATGCACCGCTTTCTCCCCTCTTATCTTTGAGATGACATTGAGAGTTTTTGCATTAACTCATTAACGAAAAGACTCATCATTAAAGTCATCACGGAGGCATGGTGCAGCGGTGGTGACACTGCACCGCCGCTGCATGCAGGAATGTGTCCGAGGCTCCCCAGCAACACGCTGACAGCAGGAGACCTTGGCAGGGCTTTGTGGAAGACGTGAACCTGTGGAGACATGTTCCCGTTTTGTATACACTGTGCGCTGGCTTCACATGAAAGTATGTAACATGATAAATTAGTTCTCGGGACCGCTCACTTATGGCTTATATATGGCAACCTTGATGATGATTTTAGAAATGTAACAGATGTATCGATGTTTTATACATCATTCATCAATGCTTAGAACAAGGCATTAATGAGAGCATGTTTAGTTTGACAGATTGTGAAAAATCTCTCTGGTTGAGGAGGATAAACACCTCCTCCAGCATGACACTTTGCCCTTTTAGTGAGCTTTTCATTTATCAGGGAGACCCCTCCAATGGACTGTCAGACCCCTCACCTTCTGGTAAAGAAACAAAATCAATTTATTATCAACTTAGTTACTACAGATTGGATGTCAGAAACTACTGCCCCTTATGATGACTTAGTATTTTTTGTATAACTACAAAATGTACAGTATGGCCTTAATTCCTGTAAATCCATGTAAATGGATTACCAACCGTCATAATATTATGATCATAAAACAAAGGGTTAACACAACAACTTCCTTTTTATAAATGGCCAATAACTGATTAAAAAAACACACTAGAAAGTGCTGTATAATAACCTCAAATAATGCCATAAATTACTACTTACAAACCTTTTATTATAAGAAGTGGCACTTAGATTTAAGTCTACATGTTTCTCACAAACTTTTGTGTTTTGCGATATTTTGCTTCAGACTAGTGAAGGGTATTACACCTAATCCTCATGTGTCAGGAAGAAGTCCTAATAACACTACTTAAATCAAGCCTGTGTCACTGCGTGTATGCCCTTAATATTCATTCCACCTTGATGTGTGTGTGCACACACTCACGTGCCCAGCGGATGGGAGTGCTTATGTGCAGCTCATGTGTTAATGCTGTCATTTCCACAGATCAGTCACAGCAGCCTTTTCTCTGTTGTTTATGGTTATGTCACCACAATTACAAGAGAGAAGGGGGGCAGAAATAAAGTGTCTGTGAAAGATTGATCGCTTTGGTCTTTAGTTCAATTGTAAATTAGAATAGCAAGTCCCTCTGGGATACAAGGGCTCTATTTATGATTAAGAAAGAGCCTCCATAATAGAGTGGTGGTAGGAAAGTTTGCTCCCTCTCACAAACAGGCAATTAGCTTGATGAAATGTGCCTTACTTTTTTTTTGCAGCGCGGTTGTGTGAACCTATATTATTATGGGCTCCCTTATAGTTTATGGTATTATTTTCACCTTGAGCTGCAAACAATATGCTGTTTGAAGAAACTGTAGCTTTTATTTAATGTATTAAATTTCCCGACACAACTTTTTATCACTACAGTTTAATTTGGGCACGAGCAAGTTCAGAAGTAGAGAGGGGGTTTTATATCCTGTGATAAAGGAGGCAAATATCACACCATTGCTAGTTTTTAGTCTGGCTCATAAATAACACGTGCACTGGCTTAGAACGTGTGTTTTATCAATGCTTATTGATTTCAATTCATCTATGCAATCATTCCATAGGTTGTATTGTAACCTGCTGCTAGTCATGATTCCCCATGTCCCCATACTGAGTATACTCATTTTCTTGTTCACAACCATTTTTTATAGATTTTCTTTAAATCTATTTATATAGTTGTTCATTAACTTTTATGTTCCCATAGTCACCCATGTTTTACAGGGTCAATAAGATTTAATTCTGTTTAATTCATAGAGAAAAATCTGGATCAAAAAGTTAACCAGTAGGTATTTTTAGTTTATACTCTAAAGCAGTCTAATGATCTGAAAAGTTATAAATCCTCCTCTGAAATAAGCTGTGTAAAAGATTACTATCATACTTAATGATTTTATGGCTGAAGGATTATCACACTCCAGATTATTGAAGCAATATAATATCTCTGGTTGTATTGTAGTGAATAAGCAAGTCAGTTTGTGAGCCAATGTGTGGGTGTAACTACTGTACATACAGCATGTGCCAAAGTGCACGTCAGGAATATTACACGCAGAGTTGTTTGTGTTGATTCGTAAATTAATACAAACTACACTCACACACGTGTCCTAGTATGTATGAGTTAGGATTATTTAATTGATGTGGTAGTTAAAAAGATATTTATTTCAAACTGAAGAATTATATGTTTACAGTTTACCATGATATGACCTGTTGTCCTTGGGAAATACTGTAGTGTGATGCTCACAGTATCAACACAACTACCACCAACAAATATACAAAATCTCCAAACCATTACAGTGACTATTCATGAAGTTTTTAATGAGGTAAACCCTGAAAGAATATTCTCGTCTAATTTAAACACCAAAGACGGCACTTTGAGATGAGGCGAGGCGTAGGAGTGAGAGGAATTTTAAAGCTCTGAGAGGACTGAACTGTGGACCTACCTCCTCAGTACCACACCACTGCCCCAAGCCTTTCTTTACTAAAAAATAATAATTGATTGGACCCTGACTGAAGATCTGTGTTGTTTTTTTTTTCCTTCTGATATTCCTTCTTTGCAAGCCAGATGAGGCTTCTCAACTTCAGACAGCACAAGCGATGTGTGGCCACTCTCTTTTTGACAATTTCTGCCCGAGGGCACATGCTCCTGTGCCAGCTGTTGTCATGGAAATTACACCAGTTTATAACATTTGTTTTTCAGTACAAAGACAGTGGTGATGTACTATTATCTCTTATCTTGCTAGTGTTAACACTTGGCTAATAAGTTCATTTTTGTTCTTTGCATGCTTTGATGCCCTACAGTTTATTCCGAAGGCTCTGGCTGCTCTTACCCAGACAGACTCTGCCACCGCTGCTGTTAACAGCTCCGTTACGCCTGGTGATTGATCCACAAAAGTGACACACCAAGTTGATTCATCCACAAGTGTTTGCTGTGAGTTCATATTTTTAATTATCTTGGAGGTCAACACTCCGTCTTCTACGTTTGACTTTCTTTTTCTTTGTTTTATTTTTTGCAGAACCTGTTCTGATTCTGATCATATAGACATGAAGACCTCTCCTCTGGTATGACAACATATCAGGTAATGAATATATTAATTTGTCCTCACTTACAAGGATTACATATTCAAATACTGACAATTGTTTATAGTCTGGTATAATCACTGTTAAGTGCATTGAGTGTATTATAAAAAATGTACTATAGTGTTTAAGAACTGTAGATGCATAACTACCATTAAAATGGTGTGTTTAGAAAGGTGAAGGCACATGTTTCAAGTCAGTAATGTCTATAATAAATCCAGAAAAAAGACAGAAAATATTACACTCACACAGACAAAAGTTGTTAATACGTTTATAATAACTTCCTCACTCACCATGGTTAATGGTAAATAACTCCTAAACTAGAACCTTATAAACAAATACTGTTTACTGAACACATTAAGTCATGGCTCTGTCTAACCTCTGGGTGCTATCACATGTCCACAAATCCCCTCTCAGTTTATTGTCAGTGGAGCAGGTCTAACATTTGACTGTGATGACATCATCCTGGGAGTATTGGCTCTCATGGTGTGAGCCCTAGAAGCAGCTCCTGCATGTCCTCATATGACGATAAAGTAACCAAGATCCTGTAAATAAGTGATTCCTGTTATTTTAATGGCTTTTCCCCTTGAGGTCATCCTCCCTCCAAGAACATCTTGTGTTTTTCATTCGCAGTCATCGCTGTTGTCAAGGTCTTCTCCTTTTATTCCCTCCATCAGTTCTTAAGGACCATTGATCACATGTGGATTTGTGTAAGTGAAAAACTTAAAATGGCAGTATTTGTTATTATACAATATATTCCATTCACAAATGTTAAATACCTGTGGAAGTAAAGATGTAGTTAAGATCGTCAATATTCACAGGCTGCTGAGTTTGTTCATAGTTATACAATTTATCTCTGCCGCACTTTGACAGAACTATGAGTTCTTATGTTGAAACATTTCAGCTTGATTAATTTCTCAGCCTGCAGTCTTCTTTAGGCCTGGAACTAGCAGAAGTCCCTCATATAATATGTTTCTGCTGTAAAGTTTAATAATCATAACTATGTTTCAATTTCAGGAGAATACTCTACTCCTCACAAATGTTCAGATCGTGAACTAGCAGAGAGAAAACACAGTACATTTGCACATTCTTGTATTCATTTAACTGCAGAACACAAATGATTTTGCTATGTAAGTGAAGTTAAACGCAGACTCTAAATAGAAAATGATTTCACAAATAGTCAGATGTACTCTCACATCTTCGTCATTCAGCATGTCACAGATACAGTTATAACAATAGTTCCAGTTAGGAAAGAAAGCTTTATTTACACACGTACATTAATCTGTCATGGTAAAACTGGAAACATTCATTCTGGAAATGTAAGTGCACAACATTAAAGACAAACACAGCTCATATGGTGTCATAAAACTTTATTGGTTATAGATGTGGCTGGTGTGACACTGCAAATTGCAATTATACACCACATAAGACACACAGCTATGGTTTGAAGTTAACCAACACGCATTTATGTGTTGATCCAGCGTAGTTTGACAGGTTATCTCCTACAAACCACGTAATTGTTTAGTGTAAATTAACACCTAAAAGAAAAACTGGAGATGCAACGTTAACAGGACAGTAGCAGTTTGATAGAATTGATTAATCTAATAATGAGACTTTTTTGATCACTATGGCTGCCTTTTTAATTAATTATTGGTAATAGGTGAAATTTCAGAACATTAAGCATACAATTCAACACTTTATAGCCGAATTAGAAACCTGAAGCTGAAGTACGCCTCCTCTACATCCGTTTGTGTAATTCTTACATATCCCTCCCTGCTACCACATTACACCTTGAGTTACAGTAATTCAATACACTGTCTGCTGCCTTTGGGGCCACATGTGAACCGTGTCTGGCTCAGGACTGAATGCTGCCACAGCTTTCTCTCTTAGGTCCTCTCCAAAACTTTTTTCACTGTCTGAGTACATGAAAAAAGAAAAAAGTGAGGTGAGTGGACTGCCCACTCTCCCTCTTTTAAAAAGAAGAGGGAGGGTAGGTCACACTCGAAGAGACACATCTTACAAGTGCCCGGTACAACCGCGGTGTTGTGCTGGCGGTCGCTGTGTGGCTCCACTGGGACAGATGGGCCTTAAGCTGCTTTGCCGAAGGGTACTTCAGCAGTGGTTCCTACGGGTTAGAGAGCACTTATCACACAATTCCCCTACCCAGACTTTCCCAGCTAGTCCTTAGAGTTAAACCATTGACCTTCTGGTCATCTGCCTCAAGTAATCACCACGTATGCTCCATCAATGCAGTCTTTAGCAGCCAAAACAACACATCATTTATCATTTCTCATATCATCTCTCCATTCCACAGTTTTGATCACTTAAACAGCCGCGACTCACACAACCAGCATTTACAAATACATTAAGAGCATGCTGGCAGTCCGCCTAAAGAGTGATCATTGAGACAAATTGATCCCTATCTGTTTAAATTGGCACTATAATCTATCATTGGCAAATTGAACACAGTGAGCTATCTGGGATCTATTGCCTTTTTAGATAGCAGCCCTTAGGGCATGCAGACAGAGTGAAAGGGATCTACGCCACTGAATGAACTCTTTATGTCTCTGCTAAGACATGTACATGTCTGCTAACACTGAAGCATAAAAAGGTGAATGTTATACATGTTATTATTTCTCACACTGTATATGCCTCTATAGCTTACATGTGTGCATACAATCAAATGCTCATACACACACGCACCATGTTTACAATAAGTGGTTGTTAATTGGTATAATGAATGCAATTTTCTGTAATAACATATTATTAAAATGCCAAAAAGAGAGAAACATAATTTAAAGTCGTACTTTTTTACATTAAAGTCTGTAAAAGCCGTGCTTTAGTGTAACCTATTCAACCACAAAGAAAAAAAGGCAAATCAAAAGAAACTACGTTCTATAAGAGTATGCACACGGGATAATTTATTGAGTTAAAACCTGTATGGCAAAAAAATCTCTAATAATACTTTAATTACATTTGTTAAAATGTTTAACTATCCTTATATGAGGAGACTTTGCTCATGTTACGTTAAGCTTATATTTATTCTATGATTATTGTGATATATGAGTCTGATGTAACTTTTTGAAACTTTCTGTCAGCAAATATTCTTTGCCTAAATAAAGCCACATGTACAAGCACACATTTGACTAATTGGTTCTTTTTTATCCATCTTTGCATTTAAGCAACATTACTACAGCAATGCTATAAAGAGAGTATAGATAAGCCTTTACCAGAGGATGCCTAATATAATGCAATACAGCAGATACAACTGCTGTGACTTTGGGGCACAACCACCATCAATCAAGTGATCTTTATCAAGCAGGAAAATACAATTTGAGGCTGTTTAAGAGCGTTTTGAATATTAAAATATTGCTTTTTAATTGTATACACAAAAGCTCAAACCTGTTGCCTCCAACAGTTAATCAACCTGTGTGTTATCTGAAATTAATTATTCTATATTTTTGATATTTTATGATAAGTTGAATCTCAACCAATTGTCAAAAACATGTTATATTCCTGGTGTTATTTTTTTTAAATTGGACGATTTAATTTGTTCTGATTCCACAGTGGTCTAATTCAATGAGACTCTTGAAGTTGATTAGCCTGGTTAACATTTGCTCCTGCGCGGGTCTGCAGGGGTTAATCAGGCCGGGAACTTGGAGACCCCCGGGTCAGCCCCCCCCTATCTGCATGAAGCACTGGGTGAAGGCGCAGATGAGATTAAAGTGCACTTTCATCACCGTTTTTGACTTTTTACACAAGTGTGAGACGGTTTCTCGCCGTCAGCATGACTCTGCTTTTTAGATTAGTTAGGCTATATCTTAAAAGAAAAAATCTGATTGATATGCGATCATTTTTAACCCAATTCACGCTGGTAGTTATTTGGTTTTAATCTACAATCTGTTGCATTTACACTGTTTTGACTAAAGTGCGCGTTGGCATATACAAATAATTACCAGTCCCAGTGCACGTGTCAGTTTAACTTGATACATGAGTGAAAGCGTTTTCTTTGCACGGCCGTAAATCTCAACTATTATCTACTCACTATCGATTAATTTAGCTGCACTTATCTCAATCAGCACATCTCCACTCCTGTGTTCCAGAGCGTGTGCTTTGTTTTACTAACAATAATAAAGTGATTTAGTCCTTACTCCCAGCCCGAGCATGGGAAATCGTTAAAGATCCAGCTATTTGTGTGTGATCAGTAAATATTTAGTGCAGGCGACATCCTCTGTCTCGTCTTAATCGATACTGGTCCCGTTGGGCAGCGCTATTGTTGTGTGCAGGCTCTCTGAGCATATATATAGTGCTTTTATCCTCTGACTGAAGGCAGAACAACTGCTAATCACACAGAGGAAACTTTTAAACCCGGGAAATAAAAACTGCAGCACAAGACTTTTAGAGGGTTTAATAGCAAATCAATTGTGTAAGTGTGAAACTGTTTATGCGTGGAAAAAGGTGTTCAATTTTCAACCCAGTATAGATTTACGCGAGGTTAATTGAGGCTATTATCATTTCATTATAGACTTTCTTATTCTCTGTATAATGTATAATTGTAAGAAAGAAATAGGGATATTCTTTATGTAGTTGCTTCTTAATTTTGTATAATGAATAAATTGTCATTTTAAATTATGATTAATTTGAATTAGAGCTAATTAATAATAATGATAATATAATAATAACACAATAGTCATTGCTGTTTTTATAGGCTGTATTTAAGGACACTGAATGTTTATTTTTGCAATAAAATGAAATATGTTGCACAGCTCTAATCACAGGTCTTATTGCATCTTCTAATCTCCTTATAATTTCTAATAAGCAGAATCTCACAATGCATGCTCGCACACTTAAAGACAGGTGTCTGTTCTGACTTCCCCCCCTCCCTCTCTCCTCTTAGCCCACACAAAGCAGCGGCGTACACGCGCGTTTTGGCCATATTACTGTGGGAGAGAAAAGGCGCACAGGATCTCTGCTTTGCTGTAGCCTAAAGACGTATTATTTCCAGAAGCAGTCAAAAGATATTCTGCTCCGAAGATATTATTATATTACCAATTCCTCGCTCATCAACACATGACGTGAATCAGTTGTTCTTACCGGCTCTCCAAAGTTGTTGCATGATCAGACATTTGCCAACATTTTCTTAATAAACAGCGTGCTTTTTGTGTTTGATTCTGTCTGTTGTAGACGAAGATTTGCCAGTTTCATTCTGAGCAGTGTGTCGAAAAAGAGAAGACAAAATATATTCTGAATAAGAGAGAAGATGCACCCCGCTACGGAAGAAGCCACACATATGCATTTGGTAGGTCTGTTTCTATAAGAATACAGCCTTCTGCCTCTCTATCACTATCAAATAACTTTATGAATGGGTATTTGCAACCTAGTTGGGCTTAATGTGATCATCATATAAATGAACACGTGGAGAAAAAAGCAATATGAGTGACTGATACGCCCGTGTTGAATGCGCACTAGAAACATCGTGTATTTACGCTACTATATGCTTTGTTTGCAGCCATACATTTATTTTTATTTCAACATATAATGCTGTCCGCTTATTTAGACAATATTTAATTTAGAACTGAGAAATAAAACACAGGTACTTTTACGATTTATCTTATTAAAGTGCGCAAAACGTACTTACCGTTTGAAGTCGGATCCTGGAGAAACGGATACATTTCGGGGTGTTTTCACGGCTTCTGTAAATGAAACCGACAAAGTAATCATGCAGACAAAATAAAACCGGCTCATTTGTTTTAGAATAAAGACATAATTGCTCTAAATACCACCGCTGGGATTGCCTGAAGTGGCAAAAAGTAAATCCAACTCTGGCAACTCTGAAAGCTTTGCCGTCCAAGTCCTGTAAAACAGAATTTAAATAAACAGTCATCAGTTTAAAATGGTGCTCGTTAGTTTGGTCGATGCGGGAGAAGAGACTGAAGCAGTTTCCGTGTCGGATGGCTCCTCTAAATTGAATCTTATTTGAAGCAAAACTTCATACGCTAGGGGGCACCCATATACTGTAATAGATCCTGGGACAATGCATGCTGCTGCTGCTGCTGCTGCTCTCTGTAGACTGACACAGCCAGGCTATAGGTTCATCTGCAGGGCTGCAAGTGAAGTTTTACCTGCAGTTCAACTTTGATCTCTGGGCTTAAAGTAAACCAATCTTTACCGCTGTTTAAATACAAGTCTAAAAACATATTAACCATGAGAGCAGCCACTCTGAGCAGACACTGACCCCGTTCTACATGCTCGGCATCCCTCACTGTGTTTGCAATCATCCCACAAGCAGTAGATTGTCTTTATTATAAGGCGATATCTGAGGTGTATTTTAAAGCATGACCCAAAAAAAACACTTTTATAGGGTTGTTTATCAGGAAGTGGCTTTGCTTTCATCTTCACATTAATGTGCAAGGCCTTTGACCTCAAGGGACATTTAAAAAAAGTAGACCCTATTTAAAGATGTGGTTATTTCATGTTTTGACCACATGAAGAAAGAGCTCTGACTTTGGAGACCCAGGTCTGGCCCCTCTGACCTGGTGCGTTGGGGATATTTGCGGCCGTGAGGGATTAGCAGGCTACAGCGGGTGGCTAGATAATGTCAGCAGCCTATCATAACATTTGTATAAGAGGTGTGGATTGTCATGAAAGGTACCTGGTGTGATTAGAAGCGCTAATAAGTATATTAGCCTGTCCAAATAAAGGAACACATTTGGAGAAAAGGGGAGAAATTCTTCGTCTGCCTTAAATGTGCATAGACCGAATACGTCTTCACTGTTTTACACAATTATCCTAAATAACATGCACACTTCCAATGATCGTGTATCATACTCTGAGTGTCTCATTTTGTCTCTTTGTGTTCTCAAATGTGTATAATGCCTTTTATAATCACATATAAAGGATCAACATTAGGGCAAAAATAATAGTTTTTATTATAATAAGCAAATATAATGTGCAGAAGGTGCACCTGTGTCCACGGGACAACATCTCTTTAGATTTTTCAGTATTTTATAAATGTACAGATATAGTGTTACGCGATACGAGGCAATGAATGGATTAAGGTTGGGTGTTATTTCTTCTTGCAATTGTTAGTGCTTTACCGGGAATTGAGTATTTTCTAAGTATGGACGATTTGAGTGACTAAAAAATGATTCCCGAAACTCGTCTCGTTTTAGGACCAAGCGGCCCTCTCGACCTCCATGCTGGCTCTGGCAAGGTACCAAGTAGCACAAGTGCCGACTAGCCAATGGGGTTGAGGGGGAGGTCCCTAAACTCTGACCAGTCAAACACACTCTCCTTCCTTATATGGCAGCAGATCTCCATGGTAACGTGTGCTAAGTTGCAGCAGTCGTGTCAAAGTTCACTATATAGAGAGCTCAGTGAGCTGATCAGAGAGAAAGCATTCTGCCAGCCCGGCTCCTACCAATCGCAAATCACTTCCTAACCTCCGCCTTTTTAACATATTTGATCACTTTGATTCTCTACTCCTTTTTCCTATTATTTTTCACTGCACGAAGGAGGTTTGTAGGTTGTGATCTTTGTTTTTGTGGTTTTTGTTTTTTAGTGCTTTCAGCATTTTTTGGGAAGAGTTGTCTTCACCGTCCAGACTCTCCAAAAACATTGGCTTCTGCTGCGCGCATTCTGGCGCTACCTCTCAACAAGAAAAGGAAGAAGACGCATTTTTTTTTACCCAGTTGGTGATTTCCTTCAAGACTTGTGCTGGAACTTGATAGTAGCTGCTTCAGTGTGCTCACTATTGTTTTTGCTGCTGCAGACACGGTCCTACCCACCAGCTGCTCCATCATTCTCTGAATAGTCCATGCTATCGGTTGATCATTTTAATATTTAGCCTACATTTCCCATTGATGGGTGTACTGGATGGCTGACTGTAAGCGCCCCTGGACTTGGCCTTTAAGCGCAAGGCAGCGACTCAGCTCGCCATCGCATCAGTTTTGAAAACGTGCTTCGCGACGTCTCCAACAGCAATAAATCGACAGTTTTCGGGAGATTCTGACTGGATTCAACGTAGGTTAGATTTGACATTTTGTGTGTCCTGTTAGTCACAGTTTATCGCGTTTCCTTGAGACATTATTCACCGCGACACCAAAACGGCAGACAAAAAGTTTCTTTACGTTGACTGATAGATATGGCAATGGTAGTGTGGAGAGGCTCCCAGGACGATGTGGCTGACACCCAAGGCACCCTTTCCTCGCAAACCCAAGGAGGACTATCCCTTCCCACCCCTCAACCAGGCCAGTTAAATCTGTCCTCTCAGGTCGCCCCTCCGACCACTCAGATTCCGGTCCAAGGACCCCCGAACAACACACAGTCCACGCCGACGACGGAGAAGCAGCAGCCACAGCACATCGAGTGTGTGGTGTGTGGGGATAAATCCAGTGGCAAACACTATGGCCAGTTTACTTGCGAGGGGTGCAAAAGCTTCTTCAAACGGAGCGTAAGACGGAACCTCACTTACACATGCCGTGCCAACAGGAATTGTCCAATCGACCAACACCACCGCAATCAGTGCCAGTACTGCCGCCTCAAAAAATGCCTGAAAGTCGGCATGAGACGGGAAGGTATTGGGACTTTATGTTTCTCATTTATATGCGTGAGTGTGTGTAAGTGTGTAAGTGTGCTTGTGCTTTTCTAGACATGAAACCATGTAATGTCGCCCCCGTAGCATGTTCTCTCCCCCGACTCTTCCCTCCCAGGCTGTGCGGCAGCAGCTCGCCATGGAGCGGCTCTCTGCTGTGCTGGAGCCGGGGCTCGCCGGGTCTTCGTTTAGCCGCTCTATTATTGTATCCAGCTCCAGCGCATTATAGCCTTGCATTTCACAAATGCGATCCGACCCCTGGCCGGGTTAGGGCTATCGAATATATATTTAGACAAAGCGTAGACATACATCTGTACTGAATAGATGAGACAATATATCCTTCTGCGCTATTATGGCGAGTACCGAATTAAGAGATAGCGTGTTCCGGCTACATCTCTCCCGCATGTTCACTGAGTCCGAAGCTGGACATCAGCTTGAATCGTGCACACAAAGCCTCCGTTTAACCTTAAGAATTTATTTGAATATATGTCGAATATAGGCCTGCATTTATGGCAAAACAAGATGAATTGCTAAGTAGGTTAAGGGTTAAACATGCAAGGTCTCCCTTGCCCTCTTTGTGTTCCTTCACAGCCAGCTCATGTTGCTGTTGCCGAATAACATCATTTTAAAGATAGACATATCCATATGTGTAAAACGTGTTTTAAAGCGTGTGTTGTGTTTCACAATGATATGTCTCACTAAAGCTTCATTATCTATGCCACCTTTTAAACTTCCTATGCAATAACACAATGTGTGTATGAGTGTTGTGATATTGTAGGCTACAGCAAACATGCTGTGTGAAATGTATTTTGTTGATGCTTATTCTTGATTCAGCCATAAATGTATAATATTTGAAAGGTATGCCTAAGATGATATAGTGTGATGATTTGTAGAATTCAGGCTTCAATATCTGTAGTTTCTCTTTTTACTGCAGCGGTGCAAAGGGGACGGGTGCCACCCACACAGCCTCACCACGGTCAGTTCGCCTTGACAAATGGAGACCCACTGCACTGCCATTCCTACTTATCCGGATATATCTCTCTTCTGTTGAGAGCGGAGCCCTACCCGACGTCCCGGTATGGCAGTCAGTGCATGCAGCCCAACAACATCATGGGCATCGAGAACATTTGTGAACTAGCAGCCAGGATGCTCTTCAGCGCCGTGGAGTGGGCCAGGAATATTCCCTTCTTTCCAGACCTTCAGATCACAGACCAGGTGGCTCTGCTGAGGCTGACGTGGAGTGAGTTATTTGTGCTGAACGCCGCGCAGTGCTCCATGCCCCTGCATGTGGCTCCTCTCCTGGCGGCGGCTGGCCTTCACGCCTCCCCCATGTCTGCGGACAGAGTGGTGGCGTTTATGGACCACATTAGGATCTTCCAGGAACAAGTGGAGAAGCTCAAAGCTTTGCACGTTGACTCTGCTGAATATAGTTGCTTAAAGGCAATTGTGCTCTTCACCACAGGTAAGACAATAGACTGGCACACTCCAAGTTAAGTCTGTGTGAATGTCACTAACATGCTCACTGACATCAGCTAAATCAACGCTGACCTAAATATACCCACACTGACTATAGAGGTGGTTGTTTGTCTTAGATAAACATCCTGCTTAAATGTACACATGTGCTGCCTTCATGGTCAAAGACTTTTGAATATAGGATTGAGGCTCCTAAATTATAATAATTAACTGATTAATAAACTGATGTATTAGACACAAACACAGAAATATAGGCTACTGGAAATTGTACAAGCATTTTTGTTAAATTAACAACAAAACAGAGGAGAATGACTGAAATATTAGAGGATAATTTCGAGTTAAATAACACCGGTAACTTCACCATAATTACTTTAAGCATCATCAAATCTAGCTATTAACACTTTTTGCAAAACCAATAGCTTGCAGATGAATTGCTACACTTTGACTTTATTTTTATTTTTCCGCCATTTATCAATGTGTGTATACCCCACGTCTTGTTTGTAGGGAATGACAGATATAAATGATGTCAGGCTCCGAGGGGGAGGGGAATAGAAAAAGAAAGACAAGCCTAATGTCCCATTTGCACACAGTAAAAGCAAAGCGCAGGTTTCAACGCTCTCGTGTCATTTAGGGGACAGGCATGTCCGAGGAAAAACATGTAGAAGCCATGCAAACCCTGTAATTGCAAATATGTCAGATTGTAACAATATTGTGTGATATTAAGCAGTGACAGGAGGGGCGGCTTTCATTTTTATTTTGCAGAACATTTGTTCTTCGCCGATTCAAGGCGTCTTTGGACTTGCTCCAGAACTAGGTCATGACCCAAACTTCCCAGCTATTTTGTTACATTA